TCTGATAGCTCTAAGAGCTTCAATCTTGTGTGGTGGTCTTGTGTTTTCCCTTTTTTTCTCTGAAAAATTGAGATTTGATTGAATATTAAGATGATATTTTCTCGAAAGTTTCTTTTATTGAGTAAGAGTTCGTTTCGGTTTGATGTGCAAGGTGTAGACAGTGTCTCAAGTCAAAATTGAGCCTTCCGAGAAGCCACTAGGCATTTGTTTACTGAAATATCTACTTTTTTGGAATCTTTGACCACTCTAGTTTCTACGTTTACGAAGAGAAACGTTTTAAGAATGCCGTCGTTCTTTAATTTTTCTACGTATAGTTATTACAACCTATCCATCAGTGCCAGTTCGGAATATGCATCCATTGATTGAATCTAAGGTATTCATGGAAGTTGCCTGCGTTTCATTCTTGCATACGTCTCTTTCGAAGGGAACCTAGAGGTTTCCACTTTGCATTTTTCTCCTTCGTGAGCATAAATATGCTCTACTGCTCATGAGTGAGGCAAGAGGCATTGAGAAGGGCGCGCGCTGCGTGCGCGTTGCGGAAGTACCTATGGGAACCTAGCCGGGGTCCACACTATACACACATGGATACACACACAAAGTACACGCATACACATATACACAAATATCACACAGAAAAGACACTGACAAACCACAAGTACAAAACACTTAAACACATATTCACATAAACACATATACACCTTCAAAATACACGCCTTAATTGAGTTAATCCAGGTTTTTATCTGCTCTAATTTAGTTCGGAAATGTCTGCTCCATTGACGTTAGTCTTTTAGAAAATTTTGAACAGAGTGGACGCTTCCAGAAAAGGTCAGTAATAGAAGTTTACCTCTTTTATATTTTACTTACTTTGGTTAATATATTTCATATAAGTGACCATGTTAACTAGTTAGACTACAATGACTACATTATAATTTTTAGATTTACACCAAGGATTGAAGACCAAGAAGACCCATCAGTCGAAGGTTGAAGTTAGTTCCCTTATTATTATTTTCTATCCATACGATCTTCCCTCACTACTGATGATTTCCGGGGAAGATCGTACTCTTATCCTTTTCCGTCTAGTGAAAGGAATGAAACGGAATTGCTTATGTTTTAATTTTATTTTATTTTGTTACTTTCGCTTTTATTTTAGTTTTCTTATTGCATTCTGTCGACTCCTCGGGTTATGCTGAAGTTAGAAGTAAACAAGTGTGTTGTATTTCCAGTACGCGTTGATGTCGCTGTAATCTCTTCTGGTTAGAAGATTCGGGCGTAAATTTGCAATTTGGCGCCCAGTGAAGAAGCCAACGTACCATCTGCTGGTTGTCCTGTGACACTAACGACGGAAGGACCATGCTTGCTGCAGAGTTCAACGAATCCAACGAGGTTGATGCCGCGGTTGCTTAAATCAGCAGTAAATTTTTCTATTATAAATTGACAGTTACTTACAAGTTAACGCTTTCATATCTGTGGTAGTACTGAATTCAAAAGCAGGAGACTTTGTTGCATTGGGGGATTGTGTTATCGTTGCCACGTTGTTGCTAAAACTGTTATTTATCCACTCTAAAAATGTATGATTTTATAGTCGTCCTCACCCCATTAGTTGGTCGGTGGGCGAATTCGAATTTGAACTGGAGCAGGCCGATCGCCGCGGAGCGTGACACCTCAACCTTCAGTCCAAATTTATGCATGTTTTTCATCATTATCCTCATTATTTAATTGTTAATCTTTGCAACGTGAGATATGTTCGCTAGCAAAATAACACATCTTGTTGTGGTCGAGCGTTGTTGCGTTCTGCTAAGCTCATAACTTCAACACTGTATACAAGTAAGCTTGGAGAAACGATACAGTTGGGAAAGATCTGCTGTAAGTCTTTTCTTTGTGGGTAATTTGTGCAGAAGTGCCGCTATAGTGGTGAATTGCACGTCATAATCGATATCTCTAGCATTTCTCAAAGCTCATTCACATAAACCGAGCACAGCAGCCAGAAACGAAGCTTAACGATAACAAAACGTCAATTTTGTCTAAGAACGTTGTCAAAATACTCGAATTACCGACGTACATACTGTTGTTGGGTATGCTTTAACTGCAAATTTTAGGAAGGAAAAAAATTACCATTTGCCACCGTCGAGCCTTTCGTAGTACTACTACCAAAGATAGTGAGGGCAGTTGTAGGCGAAGGTGTTTTGACTTAGTAGCTGCGCTATTCTGGTGACAGAGCTGTCACGATCACTTAATCCAAGAAAATGTTACTCAACACTTGTTGCGTTCTTTTCGGTAGTGGCGCTGTGGTATAGCTTGTAACGTTTGATGGGCTCCTCGTTGATGTCGTGCTTCCGCAGTTGCGACACTGCAACTGTAAATGTTGCGAGTGCTAGGGATGAGGTCCCTAAGAATCAACGACGGCCCCGAGTAGCTTCATGTTGAGAACGGTAGGAATAGCTGGACAATAAATAAATGTTTGTTACAAGAGTTGTTTGCTTGCTGGATTGTTTAGTAATTTTTGCATTGCACTGAGAGCTTTATAATTAGCTATTAGGTTGTCCCTTAAGTTTTTTCATATTCGGACCTTCAATTCGATTTTTCTCAGGAACTACAGCACCTAGTAGGCTGCAAATTTTTGGCAGTAATTCTGAGCGAATAAGCTATGTAATCACCTACTTGCGGGGAATACAGAAGTGATAAAGACAAAGTTTGAAAAATGAGCGCATTATTTTTTTCTTGGTTTCTAGCCATCAGAAAAATGCAGCAGGTGCATTTATAAATATCCGATGAGGAGAGTATATGCATGAAAAAATAGGAAATTTGCAGAGCTTTTTTTGAACTGAGATATGATGATTTTCGTTTTTTCGGAAATTCGGGAAAATTTTTTATTTTGGCTTGGAGCATGTTGCGGATTGGACTTGGTGCGAACTTTTGAACGCCATCTTGTAGAGCTTACTTTAATCTGTCGAATGGTACCCTGCAGTTTATCAGGAGTTCAAGAAGAACTGATTTATGTCGTTGAAAAGTCAGGTATGAAAACACTTATGGGACAACCTAATATTTACAGAATATGACGTATTTTTGTCACCTCATCGTAAATGTTAAAGATGTTGTTGTCAACAACACTTTGCATATTACTTCATCCTACTCTTACCAAAATCAACGTTTTTTGACTGAAACTCAGAGTACGCTGTAAAAATCCACGGGTGTCAAGTACCGTTTGTTCTTCGGTAGCAACACTTATTGTGTAAGAGCTGGTCAAATTTACATACGTTCTCATGTATTAGGTTTGACATATAAGTAATGTATACAACTTTTGTCTTTTTCATTGCAATTAAATTCATTCCTTGACAGTATAAAGATTTCAATGTAGCCACAAGTGCAGCCATTTTCGCGAAATTTCGATCGCTTGTAAGGGTCCCTGATTCAGAACCCAGCATGAAAGCTGTGATCCCGCTGGTTGAGCTCCGGCAACACACAAACTCCTTGCGTTAGAATTTCTTTCTGAAAGTCCAGGCTCTTGAATTTGATCCCAACACATTTACTGAAATATGTGCCTGCCCATCGAATATTAGAATGTTTTTGTCAATGGAGAATGCGCGATTGAAAGCTTAGAAGTCACTCGTTGTACACAAATGTCTCCAATGAAGATGCTAAGGAAGCCATCTATGACTGCATTTGGAACATCAATCTGCTCTCAACATGTATGGGTTCAGTGTTCGTCAAATCATGACACTTTCAAAAATGCCTAAATTGCAGCATATGCCGTTGATCAGGAAGGTATTACAAGCAAGCACGTGACCTAGCGATGGGGCAAAGATTGGCTCCCATTGTCGCAATCGCCTTCATGTCAAAGATCGAAAACCAGCACTTGCTCGTAAGCCCTTGCTCTTTTATGGATACATTGACGACTGCTGTATCATATGTCCAACTCAAATGAAATAGACATATGCTTTGACATTCTGAATAGTCAATCCCCTAACATAAGTTTCACGCAAGATACTTGACGAAAATTGGCTAGCATTCCTAGACCTCCAAGTGTTTCTATCTTAAGGATCATGACTAAGTGATTTCGCAAACGAGCTAGTAAGAATATATAAATTTACTACTGCTCTGGTCATCCTTGGAGAATGAAACGATCCGTAATAGGCGACATTTTCAGGCAGCAAAATCAGTTTTATCCAAAGTTGAACAGCGCAATGTCGATGAACCTTGCCAAACAGATTAGGTATTCTAACGGCTCTCCCGCAAAAGGTGCACCGATGCATACCCCTGTAGGCAAAAAAGCAGACCGAGCGAAATGAAGCCAACAGAAATACCGTTTTGTGTTTTTCGTATATGATGGTTTCAGCAGAGCTATCAGGAAATCTTTGTTTTGAATCGGCCTCGATGATTCCGTCAGAGTTATAGATATCCCTACTCATCTCTCTACTCAAAAAACAACTAAGCCGCAATCGAGCATATAATAGAATGTGCACGACCGCCGATTGTATCATCTGGGCTCTGGGAAACTAGGCAACTGCATGGAATTAGGAGTGGTATTTTTCATAACCACTCAAAAATGAGGTGACCAATACATAAGAGAGACCGGCAGACCCTTGTGCACAAGAATCAGAGGAAATCTTGACGTCTTAGAAAATCAAATGTCCACATCTTCGGGTGCACTCGAAGGTTATGTCATGAGAACCAGTACTTTCAAGTCAAGGTTACGATTTTGTCGCGCGAATCGGAGTTCATAGCCCGTAAAACGTTGGAGGTCTTTTGGATAGCGTCTAAACAACCAAAAGTGAACCGCAAAGATGAAAGCAATGCCACAAATAGCAAACTGTTTTCCTAACAAACACTATGTGGATTTTAATACGAGATCCTTTATAACCATTAAATATAGCGCAGCTGCAGCGCAGTATTGGTTGTTCGGTCTCTATATCCCGATTTGACAACTTTTGAAGTCAGGCTTCAACAGCTTCATCACATAGCTAAAGAGATTTTATTGCCAAACAGGGCGACTGACTTCAAGCGGGCAGATTAAAGTCTCGATCTTTCAAAAAATCCTATCGACGGCGGAACGTTGGCTTATCGCATAATAAAGTCTTGCTAACCTTGGTCGGCAGCTCAAAAACTGTATTACTACTTTCACAATGCCAAGGTTTATCGACAATCGAGCACGAAACATCCTAGTGCAGTCATAGTGCACCGGTAATTTTTAGCACTTGAATAGTTTGCTTGATAGCTTTCGGAACTTTCTTGGCCTGTTCTACCGCACGATTTTTAACGAATTCTCCAGCTTTTAGTAGCCCTTTTCCAATTGTTTTGAGAACATTCCCTTCAGCTACGTCCACAGCGGAGAGAATCTGTAAGCATTAAAGTAACGTACAGTCAATAAGTTTGAGGAGTAAATTCGCAAACTAAGACATGTCTTGTTTGGTCAACCTACCATCAAGATGGTAAGTAACAAGAAGGCAAGTTTGAAAATTCTCATTCTTGTCGAACTGACGTACGTCTGAAAAAAAATATTCTGAGAAAGTAAGCGGTACATAGATCGGCTGATAAAACAACGACGAACAAACGAAACTTCTTTGACACAACTTGACAGAGAAACAAATGGGGTAGGGGAGTATATGTCGCCGGAAATGGGAGATCCCGCCGGACATTTGCGACAAATACACTTTTTAATACCTGCACAGGTTGAGTATCCGCTGCATCGTCCACACGGGACCCTCCCACTTTCGGCGACATATAGTCCTCCACCCAAACAAATGATTTTCTGAGTGAAGAGAGAATTACGAGATTACAACCACCTTGATTTCTCTGCTATGTGTAATTCCTAGGCATTTGTAAGAGACAATGTCGCAGATTATGTCAAAAATAAAAACTTTATGTTGTGCACAATATGCACAACTCCATCAACCATTCCGCTTGTCCAGCCGTAAATTCATCAGCTTTTTCTTTGAAACGAAAGATATCGGTAACTGCCTTTTCAAAAAAGAAGCAAACAAAGCTTGTGTTTGATCATGTTCTACCCAAAACTTCTCGGTTGATAATGTTTTCCCTTGACTCTGCAGACCATTAATTGAGTTGTTTTTGAATCATAGCAAACCTTAGCACTTTTGGTCAATTTTGGCTGGACATGCTTATGCTCAAAAAGAGGAATTGGACGAAATGGAGGATGATCAGATAGTAATTGAAAATTGACAGTAGTAATTTCTACTATTGTCATAATCTTTTCAATTGAAACTCCTCTATAAAAAATTGCTCTTTCTTCTGAAGAGAAAAAACAGTACGCAAAAGTTTTGTCTTGATCCAAACCTACCTCCCTTATCTGCGATGCCGGACTATGGGAAAATAAGCTTTTAAAGATCCAAATTTGGCAAACATTCAGCGCCCCATCTTCATGAACAGTTGTTCAAAAATACCCACTGTGACTCCGGTAAATGTGAGCATCCCTTGAAATCAATACACTTAATATCTTGCTAATCATTAACTTCCAAGATGGATTTTAAAGCTCATTATGCATTGGAAATTCAAAGATTTACACATTTAGTCGCATTCTGTGAAATCACTGGAGCTCTAATGCATGATGTGCTATAGGACCCAACTTGGGAGTGCAAGACTAGCAAGATATTTAGTGTACTGATTTCAAGGGATGCTTACATGTACCAGAGACGCGGATAAGTGATTTTGAACAATTAGTTCTTGAGGATGTGGCGCTGCGCCAAATTTGGATCTTTGAATGCTCATAAGTTTTCCAGCGAACAGCATCTCAGACAACGAAGGTGAAATTGAAATCAGCTCATCAAGACGCATCAAATGCTATGCGGTTCAGTTCGAAGGGCCACCTCAAGTTCGGATCCTTCTTTGTAAGACCTATTGTACGACTCTTCATTAATGTATTAAGTTGATGCATAATTCCTGCAAAAAAATAGGCACATACGGCAATAATCCGGAATAATCCTATATCCCAAATAGATTTCGATGTATCATTAGATAGCGCAAACCTAGCTCTACAAGATATTGCTTAAAGTTTTGCAACAGCTTTGATCCAAGCGAAGTTCTGAGCCGAACTGAAAAAAACTATGCGTCCGAGAACCTTAAGAGAAATTAAAACAAATTTGTAACTCCGTTAAAAAAAACTCCTACAAAAATTCTTCTTTCTCACGCGTAGACATTCCACGTAAGACATTTATCTATGCGGTTGCTGTATTTTTTTCTCAGCTAGACTATGAGAAAAAGAAGTTTTTCATGTTCTTGCCAAATTAGTGTTGAGATGTTCTAGCACTAACAGTTGTATAGTACACGCCCTTAGCAGTGAAACTTCACATTTTCAGCCTTTTAGGGCTGCTAGTTTACGAGAGATGACGAATCTAGCTTTCCTCATCCAAATTTTTCTTGCCTAGTTGCTAAAAATTCGATATTTCTCGTGAACCAGCTGCTGTGATGAGCTGAAAATTCACACTCACACTTATAAGGTCCTATAGTATACAACTGTCAGGGCTAGACATCTCAGCGTTGTTTTGAAAAAAAAAACATGAAAAACTTCGTTTTTCCATTTCTAGCTGAGAGAAAAATACAGCAACTGCATGGAGAGACGTCTTATAAGAAATGAAATGACTTTCAATTTTTTCTTGGTTTTTTAGCGCGCTTGGATCTTTTTAGTTTTTGGCCTCAATCCTCGCTCGGATCAAAGCTGCTGCAGAACTTTAAGCACTGTTTTGTAGAGCTAGATTTGCTCTATATAATGAAATATCGAAATCTATTTGAGATATAGGATTATTCCGGATGCGGTCTGCACCTATTATGGTGCAGGAATTATGCATCAACCTAATAGAATAATGGTAGGGACTTCAAGAAGTCTAGGATAGACAGCCATATTTTGCCTCGGAAAATAGACGAAACAAGTTTAAAGCTTTTACACTAGATTAATCAAAGTCACAGACTTTAGATATGGATTACACCTTACTGTAATGCTCAATTAAAGAGTAGTATTTTCCCGTAATAACTGTCTTTCCAAAGAATGTAATGGTGTGCCCTAACACTCAAAAAGCTTGCAAAAAATTTGTAGTAAAATCAGCAAGAGTGAAAACGCTATGCAGTTTTCCACAATTTTAGGGGAATTTTGGCAGACGGCTTTTTTCACAGTGATTCTATTCTATTCTCTCTAAAGTACCCATTTTCAAATAAATTGGGCTGTTGTTTTCCTAGCAGACTGAAAGTGCCATTCGATAGAGCGAAGCAAGCTTTACGAAAAGATCACCAAAGATACACCTTAGTTGTTATCCAGATAAAATTTGGAGCCAAAAACCAAATTTTAAAAATTGGATCTCCTTCCAAAAATTTTCCATGGACTTCGAACTTTCCTATACAATATACAAATAGCCCAAAAATGTATTTGGTGGATTTTTTGAGGCTCAAAATTGAAAAACAAAGTGCTGTGAGAATGGCAAAGTGCCCTTTTTCCATTTTTCATGTAACCCGGTAAAGTATAAAAGACAAGGTAAAGCTTTAATGTCATACTCAATAAGGCTTGTAGTATACAATGACATATGTTGGGAGGAGCTGAGGGGGGGGGGGCATTTTTGAAGTTTTTTTTTCCGCTTTCTATGTGCGGAAAAATCCAGTTAAGACATATTCGAGACTACTATGTGCCTACTTTATAACGACCAAGTTGGAGGTCCGTAGAAATCTTTCTCGCAAAAATCATTTATTAAATAAGAAAATTTTTTCGATTTTTGGCTTCAAATTCCGCATGGAATGCGAATCTGTTATAGTCGCTTTGCAGAGCTTGATCTGTTCCATCGAATGAGTCCTAGGTTTACTAGGAAAACAAAAACAGCTCGAGTTATTCAAAAAAGTTTACTTTTGAAACAACCTATCGCATGCCGAAACTTTCTACCGCAATCCTACAGTGATGAACAGCGATGTAAGTTGAAGCCCAATTACAGAATGATATTTAAAGATGGGAGAAAGATGTTAGCAAGAGAAATATTAACAACTGAACAGCTTGCGCAATCGCCATTCGAAGTATTTTTGCAAATCTTGAGTTTCGCATATGCGGTATCTGTTTCCAATCTTATTTTTTCGGCAATCATTTCTTTGGTTGTCTCAAGTTTTGATAAGTTTTGTGGCGTGATTGGATCAGCTGCTACTTACCAACTAATTCAAATGTTGTTGCGGAATGTTTCACTTTGCATTTTACAGGGCATAGTTTTATATAAGCTACTAGTGAGACTATGTTTCTTTCCATATGCTCTCAGGTTGCGCTTTTTTTGAATCGCATTTCATACATACGAGTAAAAAAATAAAGATAAGCCAGACGGACATGAAGTAGATTGAGCGCTTTTTGAAGATCTTCACTCTATCCCGATGACGAGAGAACCGCATACGCAAAATTCAGGCAATTTTTGACTTATTTATGAAAGTGTGTCTCTTGCGGCAGGCGCTGTGGTATAACGCTCATCCCCCATGTACCCTATTTTCAAGTGTATAAGCCGCGGGGTGGTCCTCGCTCACATCGACCAAGCCGAACAGGGCTCGGCACGAGCGGCACCAGGAAAATTTCAAAAGGAAGTCCCATTTGATCTTGAAAATTTTGTACAAAGTTCCCTTTGACCTGAAAAGACACGTTATTATTTTTAGAATATATAAAACTATGTAGTAGAGTTTTCATGCATGCTGATTTCATGGAACAACTTTTCACAGCTTTCTGAACTTTTTAAGTAGTTGAATCACATCTTGAGAAGCAGAAAAAGCCCATTTTCGACTGCGGAGCAGAGAAAGTAAATTTCGGATGGCTATAAAACGCTGAAAAGAAAATATTATGAAAATTCTCTTTATGTAAACTTTTGTAGATACAGTGTAGATGCAACAGAGAGAGTAAATTTCGGATGGCTATAAATCGCTGAAAAGAAAATATTATGAAAATTCTTTGTATGTAAACTTCTGTAGATACAGTGTAGATGCATTTTATGTAAAAAAAAAACTATGAAAACTTATGTGAGCAAAGTGTCGGTGCCAGCTCAGCTGGCACCCAGCTGGCACGGTGCCAGCTAATTCAGAGTACTGAAAGCTAAAGATTGGAAGCGTTTTGGAAGATTTTTATGCTAAATATACAGGGTGTCCCAAAAGTATGTATACACTGTTTGATCATGAATATCTCTGTTGTCGAGAAGTTTTTTGCCTGTCTTCAGGTACCGTTTTGTAGACCAAGCTTCAACTTAGATTTACAGTATAAAGCAAATTAATTATCTTCGCTCACTAGTGCAGGATTACGGTAAGAACTCAAAGAAGGGTTTTGGGCCATTGAAAGCATCATTTCCCCTTAGAAAGCAAACCAAACAATATAGAAACTCTTACACTAGGCTAATTAAAGTCGCTAAAACCAAATATGAACTTTGCATTTGACCCCGATGATTCCTTCATGACTTATGTCCCCTAAATCGTAATAGCTGTTTTTACGATGCTCCCTAAATTTGCAATCACATTTTTTGAAAAGCTTCACACACTCCTAGA